AAGTTGCAGAGGTTGGTGAATGAATTGGTAGTGTATATAAAAGAAGGAAATTAAAAGTGAACGTAGGAAAGAGCAAGGTGATGAGGATAGCAAAAAATTAGGTAATGATAGATTAAATATCAGATTGGAGGTAGGGAGTATGGAGGAAGTGAATGTATATAGATAATTTGGAGTGGACATGTCAGTATATGGGTCTATGAAAGACGAAGTAAACTATAGAATTGACAAAGTATCCAAGTAAGCATAGAGGGGACTGTGTGAAAATATAGTGGTACCAACGCTCTTACATTGGTGTGAAGCATGGGTGGTGAATGTTGCAACGAGAAGGCTGGAGGCAGTGGAGATGTCGTGTCTGAGGGCAATGTTTCTTTGAAAAAATTAAAGGCCCCTTGTTAGAGTTTTATGGGTGTGGGATTTATAATTTTTAAATAAAATATTTAAAAATTTTATAATATAAATTTTAATAAAATTATATAAAAATTGTAAACACATAAAATAAAGGGGTTTAAAATTTGTTGGGGGCCCGCCTCAGGCAAAACCCCTGAGGTTTAAACAGGGGCCCATTAAATGACGACCAGTAGGTGTGACGTCCCTTATGGGAAATTTTGGGTGAAAAGTAGTGGGGTTAATTTATGGTAGTATAGTTCTCGTTTTAAAAGAGGGTTTTTTAAATGAGTGTTAAAGAAATGTACCACCACGGAAACAGAGGAAATTTGAATAAAAACCCCCCCGGTATTTTGGTCTTGGTAAAACCAGTCTGTGATTATATTTTAATTTATTTATGGAAAAAATTTAAATTAATTATAAATAGGGGAAATAAAAGGGGAATTTGTATTTAATTTTTTTTAATATATATATATATATTAATATATATATATATAATATATTATATAAAATAAATATTATTTATATATTATATATATATAGTATATATATATATATATATATATATATATAATAATTATATAATATTATAATTATTTTTCACACGGGCCCGTTTCCACCAAGGCGGGTGGCCGAAAAGAAAAACTTTCACCATCATTCACTCCATCACTGTCTTGCCAGAAGGGGCTTTACACTACAGTTTTTAAACTGCAACATTAACCCCCCTTTCAGAGGCGGCACTGTACTTCCTATCTCCAGACTCAAGTCCGGCCTCCCGGGTTTTCCCTGAACCCCTTCATAAATGTTACTTTGCCACACTCCAACAGCACGTCCAAGTATTAAAAACCATTTGTCTCATTCACTCCTATCAAACACGCTCACGCATGCCTGCTGAAAGTCCAAGCCCCTCGCACACAAACCTCCTTTACCCCCTCCTCCAACCTTTCCTAGGCCGACCCCTACCCCGCCTTCCTTCCACTACAGACTGATATACTCTTGAAGTCATTTTGTTTCGCTCCATTTCCCCTCACATGTCCGAACCACCTCAACAACCCTTCCTCACCCTCTGAACAACAGTTTTTGTAAATCCCGCACCTCCTCCTAACTTCCAAACTACGAATTTTCTGCATTATATTCACACCACACATTGCCCTCAGACATGACATCTCCACTGCCTCCAGCCTTCTCCTCGCTTCAACATTCATCACCCATGCTTCACACCCATATAAGAGCGTTGGTAAAACTATACTCTCATACATTTCCCCCCTTTGCCTCCAAGGACAAAGTTCTTTGTCTCCACAAACTCCTAAGTGCACCACTCACCCTTTTCCCCTCATCAATTCTATGATTCACCTCATCTTTCATAGACCCATCCGCTGACACGTCCACTCCCAAAATATCTGAATAATTTTACTTCCTCCATACTCTCTCCCTCCAATCTGATATCCAATCTTTTATCACCTAATCTTTTTGTTATCCTCATAACCTTACTCTTTCCCGTATTCACTTTTAAATTTTTTTCTTTTACACACCCTACAAATTCATCCAAACCCAAACTCTGCAACTTCTCTTCAGAATCTCCCCCAAAAGCACAGTGTCATCAGCAAAGAGCAACTGTGACAACTCCCACTTTATGTGTGATACTTTATCTTTTAACTCCCCGCCTCTTGCCAAGACCCTCGCATTTACTTCTCTAACAACCCCATCTATAAAAAATATTAAACAAAATACGGTGACATCACACATCCTTGTCTAAGGCCTACTTTTAACTGGGAAATATTCCCTCTTTTTCCCACATACTCTAACTTAGCCTCACTATCCTCATAAAACTCTTCACTGCTTTCAGTAACCTACCCCCCTACACCATACACCTGCAATATCTGCCACATTGCCCCCTATCCACCCTGTCTACCCCTTTTTCCAAATCCATAAAGCCACAAAGACCTCTTTAGCCTATCTAAATACTGTTCACTTACATGTTTCACTTAAACAAACCCGTCCACACAGCCCCTACCTTTCCTAAAGCCCCCTCCTTGTTATCTTAATAATAAACTCTACCATACACTTTACCCGTATACCACAGACTTATCCCCCTATAATTTTTGCACTCTCTTTTGTCCCCTTTGCCCTTATACAAAGGAACTATGCATGCTCTCTGCCAATCCCTAGGTACCTTACCCTCTTCCATACATTTTTAAATTCCCCCCCAACCCCCCGCTATTAACATTTCTATCTTTATTCCTATCAATCCCGGCTGCCCTTACCCCCTTTCATTTTACCTCCTCCCTCACGAACTTCCCCACACTCACAACTGGCTCTTTCCCCACTCCCACAAGATGTTTATTCCTCCTTGCCCTATACACGAAATCACAGCTTCCCTATCTTCATCAACATTTTAAAAATTCCTCAAAATATTCCCTCCATCTTCCCAATACCTCTAAATCTCCATTTAATAAAATCTCCCTCTCCTATTTTTTAACTACAGATCCATTTGTTCTCTAGGCTCCTAACTTGTTAATCTCACTCCAAAACCTTTTCTTATTTTCAACAAAATTGTTGATAACATCTCACCCACTCTTTCATTTGCTCTCTTTTTACATTTTTCTTCACCACTCTCTTAAACCTCTCTCTTTTTCTCATATACTCTTCCCTCCTTGCATCGCTTCTACTTTGTAAAAACTTCTCATATGCTAACTTTTTCTCCCTTAATACTCTCTTTACATCATTATTCCACCAATCGCTCCTCTTCCCTCCCGCACCCACTTTCCTGTAACCACAAACTTCTGCTGAACACTCCAACACTATATATTTAAACTACCCCATACCTCTTCGACCCCATTGCCTATGCTCTCATTAGCCCATCTATCCTCCAATAGCTGTTTATATCTTACCCTAACTGCCTCCTCCTCTTTATATATATACCAAACAATCGCAGACAGGTGATCTTAACTATGCAAGACAACCCACGGAGGAGGGGGGTGGAAATCGTTAGCTCAAGTACTTTCACGCTTCTCAGAGCGCCATCAGGAGCTGTGCAATGTTGCAAGGGCAGCATCAGGAAAAATTGGGTAAGCTTTTCCGAGTCCTTGACTTGCTTACGTACCTCGAAGAGGAACTGCCTATTCGACACGACACACACACTGGCGGCTGGCCAGGACTCGATCCTGCATTCTCATGCCCATGTTCTTATGATAAAAGTAACAAAGAACAAGGAAGATAGGAAGACTAATCGGATTAATTATAAAAATGCTTGAATCGAGTTACTTTTCTGAAATAGTTCTTCAAGGAAAGAAAAAAAAACTAAAAAATAACTGAAGGGATATGAATAAAAATGATTTTTGTAGACTTAAGGAAATAAGTAAGTCATTATCGAACTATCGCTGTAACATACGTAATGAAAAGCCTGGATTCCGCTTGGAGTGTGTAATTTCCTTTATACCAATATTTAACAAACTGAAATATTGATTTCTGAGCGATAGTTCGATAATGACTCTATATTTCCTTAAGAGAGAGCCAACACTCCCTCTCAAGACGGCTACACGGATGTTACTCGATTCAGTTTTCCATTTTTTTAACCTCTCCCCTTGGATCAAATAGAGAGCCAAGACCAGCATTCAACCTTCGACTCACTAGGCTTAGTGTCACCCCTTACAATAAGAGGGAAATTGTTAATACAAGAGGCACGGAAGCTTAAGTGTGTTTGGAATGAAACCCTACCTAAAGAATTTGTTAAAAAGTGGGAAGAATTAATAGGCAAGTATGTGAAAATACCAATGTTAGAATTCCCACATGGTGTGTCAGTTCTGATGATGGTGATGGAAGTGGCGATGGCTGCCAATGAACAAACTGAATTTATAGTGGTATCAGAATCGCCCATTTGTACACCATTCCTAGGCTTCCTTACCTGTGACTTCAAAGGAGCAGATGAGGAAAAATGGCTTACAACCATTACCTCCGAGATATGCATTTCATGGGTGAATAGACTGCTAGTAAAGAATGAATGACTACCCATTCTTTTGCATACAAGGTGCCCCAAGAATTAGATTTCAGTCAGATATATATACAAAGTGCCCCATGAGCTGGATTTCAGTCAGATATAGAAAGAAGAAATTAGAAGACTGTGGGATATTATAAAAGGTTTGGTCTTGTAGAAAAAATGAGCAAGATATCTGGAATGGTGTGCAAATCTTGGGTGAGTAGACCTTGTACAATGTATCTGAAGAGAAGTGGTAGTGACGCGGGTGGAAGATTGGCTGCTGGACTCGGCTCTCTATTTTATCCAAGGGTAATGGTCAATAAAAAATTGGAAAACTGAATCGAGTAAGGCCCGGGTAGCCGTCTTGAGAGGGAGTGTTGACTCTTTCAAGGAATTGGGAAATCGCCCGAATCTTCCAGTGAAATCAACCAAAGTGTAACAGAAGCGATACCGTCAGAAATTGATGAAGTATGTTAATTTGTATTGGCCAATATAAATTTCCTACCAAGAGTGAGGAGTTAGAATACGACGTCCTACCTTGTTGGGAAACGGCAGGTGTGTAAAAAATAAATTGAAAAGTAATAATAATAATTCTTACCACATAACTTATAAGGATTATAAGACAAAACGCAACACTAACGTTCTTTTCGCTGAACGATTCAGGATCCTGGAATTGTGTCTCAACCATTGAAGTCTTTCTTGGCGGTGGTCCAACAGGTCCTGTCAATGGCTCTTTATATTTCCCTGATCGAACCTAAGAAGAAAAATTAAAATGTTGAGAAGACAAGTATTCATGAGAGGAGATATAAGGTCATAAAGGCTTCAAGTAACAAGTTCACCACTAGATGATAATTTCAATTATAAGCTTATGGGGATTAAAAGAAATTCTGGGTTCCTATACAGTGAGATGTGTTCCACTCGACGTGTACAACATACCCTGTTGCTCTCAGTGAACCCCCAATATGAGAAGTTAGTAAATAGGGTTTTAACCCTATCGACTACATGAGGGTCATTACTGCTACATGTAACCTGTTCACTACTATCCACGGATATTTTAATCCATAAAAATAAATTAAGGTAAATTCTCAGCATATATGCGCTGTGATAGACACATCTTGGTGTGTATAACCTGTTTAATTAGTGGAGTTAATGCCCCTCGACTACTCAAAACGATATTAATGACTAAGGTAATATATATGTCGTGGCGAATAAGTTGACTTGTATGACCAGAGCTTTGGTAAGATGGGGAGGGAAGAAGGCTGGGTAAGGATGGAAATATTGGAAAGGATGGGTACTAATATGTACCACTTTCATATAAATTAGTACATGTGTGTATGTGTATGTGTATTGTTATTAATGAAATCAATTTCACTGAATGGAGTATGACACCTATCTATTAGTTTCACACAGTTATAACAAATGTATAACTGCATGACGCTGAGTTGGCGGGAAGTATACTTATTTTGCGATTACAGGGAGTAAGCTGGAAATGACAATAGCAAGGCGTTAGATGTAGGGTGATTCTTCCCGGTGATACTGGCCGGTTCAGCTGCTTCAGAGGTGTTGACCTGCCGTAGTAGGTTTGTCGATGTCACATGGTTAAATGTAAGAGTTAATAAGTTATAAGGGAAGCCTCCATAAATTCGGGTGGTTTTGTCCCTATTGGACATAAAAGGGTTCCGGTATTACCCATCCATCTATATCTTCTATCCAGAGACCATATATATCTATATGGTCTCTGGAAATTCTAATTGTGTATGAATCTTCAGACTCTCTGTTGGAGGGCCATTCATTTGGGTTCTGTGGGGAGGTGTGTTGATGGTGTAGTCAGTGGTGTTTGTTGCTTGGGGAGGATATTCTCTGTCTGGTATATAGAGTTCTTGCATGTCGTATAGTTGTCTCTTCTTTAGTTTACCAATCCTTACATTTGTTGCATCTATCTCCATTTGAATGTGTAGATCTTCTATCCTGATTCTGTCTCTCCTTCTGTCGTCTGTGATGAAGCGTAGCGCTCTGTAGCTGTAGGTTGTTAGTTATATTTGTTAATGATTTGGGTACACATGGATATTCTAGCATAGGTCTTATCATCAACTTGTATAAGTGTTTCTTAATATGAGAAGGGGCTTGATTAAACCTGTATAGATTGCTGAGGCAGACTTTGGTAAAGCTCACCTTTTTAGAGATGTGTGATATGGAGTGAAGGAATCTGACTAACTCGTATCCCAGGATCATGTTAGGTTTTCTGATAGCAATAAGTATGCCTCTGATGGAGATACCCCCCTTGCAAAACATCCGATGGTTCTGACGAGGACTTTGTCTGGGTTGGTCGTCATTCTCCATCTCTTCTCCCAGTTTGCTGTTCTTAGTAGCTGTGTATTCATTTTTTCCATTACCCCCGTATGCTTATGTTTTCCCGTGATGGGGTGGATGACACTGCATGGATAACATCATCAGTAAATTGGCTGATGATAGTATCATCGAATTCGGGTTGTGTGAGATCGTTTACATATATTTTGAAGAGTATCGGGCTAAGGCACGAGCCTTGTGGCACTCCAGCTGTCGGTGTGAAAGGCTCTGCCGACTTGCAGTAAAAAGTAGGGATGATTCTTCTTCCTGATAAGAAATTGCATATGAATCTGAGAAAAGTCCAGTTGTGGTCAGGAAGGTCGACAAGTTTAAATATGAGTCCGTCGTGCCACAAGCTGTCAAAAGCTTTGTGTACATCCCTGACTGCAATTAGGGCGAGGTTGCCCTGTTTCCTCAGGCTGTCCACAGCATCGAAGATGATATTGATAGCTTGTTGGGTTCCTCTGTTTTTCAGAGAAGAGGTGACTGTACTCCAAGTAGTATTTTAATATGTTGGAAATTATTTTCTCAAGGACTTTACCCATAACTTCAATAATGAGATAGGTCTATAGTTCTCCGATTTATGTTTGTCTTTATTGGGTTTTGCAATGAATATCATCCATGCTGTCTTAAGAGCCACTGGAAAGTGTCCCGAGGCCAAGATAGCATTAAAGATATTTACCAGAGACACTGCAATTTATGGGTAAAAACTTTACTTGTTTCACTGTTATACCTGAGAGGCCAGGGGCTTTATTATTCATTCTTCCTATAACTTGACTCAACTCTCTGAGTGTGATTGGTCTTGTAAGGGGGTGTTCATCTTCAAGGGAAGATGTATCAATTAACGGTAATGCTTGGAGGTCAGCTCGGTTGTCGTCTCTCCATTCATTGGCCCATTTGTAATAGTTATTATTAAATCTTCTACTATAATTGTGAGAGAGAATTTTCTTCCACACATCACCCATCAAATTGGCTTGGTCTTGCGGGTCATCAAGTTTAATATCAACTTCCTCATCATCGTCATCGGTGAAGGAATGTATTAGATAATGGGTAGCCTTGTGCTTTGACCCTAGAAGCTGGTGAATCTTGCTCCAGAACTTTTCAGGTTGATGTTTGTATTGATTAGTTGGAAGAACAAAATATTTTCATAATTCACTTTTGTGTTGTGTGATCAGGGTAAGTAATTCTCTTCTGAACCTCTGCAGTATAGCCTTTGTGGACTGTTCTGCTTGATAATTTTTCATGCAGTCCCTAATTTTCCTGGTTGGTTTACATTCCTGATAGATCTTTGAAGTATTTAATTGGCAACTTGCATGAGTGGCTTCAGTGATTCTTTCGTGGAAGGAGCTGTTTGCCTCGTCAATTGCAGTTGAAGGTTGGTTCTCAAGCTAAACAGCAAGGTCATTGCTAGGTAGTCCTGAGATCGATCAAAATCCTAGATTTTTTAGGTTGGGTCTTCAGAAGGAGTCGGGTATTCTTAATGGTGATGCTTGTAGTGTTATTAAAAGGGGATTTTGCTGATCCTACACGTTTCACACCCACACCCAGGGAGACCTGTGCAATGGTATGGTCACAAACTCTCTTGTTAAAGACTATATCAGGTGTTCCCCGGGTGAGGGTCTACATATTGACTCAAAAATGGCCTTGGAATGAAAAAAAATTTATTTATGATTTCTGCTGTCAATAACATTATGATCTTTGTTTTCCCCTTTAGGTCACCCGAGTGGAATGTTCGGCAACCTGCAGCTGAAGAATGCGGGGTGATGGCATTAACATGTCCTGCCAGGCATTGTAGGGAACATTTCTACTCAGTATCTGGTGAAGGGGGACACATGGACTCACACGTAAATGGTTCTATCTATGGAGGAAAATATCCAGTTCCAACTATTAATTGACCACATGAGTCCGTCCAGTTCTATTGCTATAAAGCTGTCATCCGCAACAGTGGATGTTATGAAATGCATATCCTAGTTTCACTAGGACGGCCCCTCCACTAAAGGGCTTCCTCGATTTCTCGACAGTAGAGTAACAACGTATCATTTATATGTTGGTCCTGCTCTTCCTCTCTGCAGCTGTCTCATTCAGATAGGATGTTTTATCAGGGTTGTGACATTGTTGTAAGTACGACTTCAAGGAGATAGTCTAGTTGTTTAAAAGAAATGTTTGAATATTATTGTATAAAACTGTAATCTCTATTATATCGTGAAGTTTCCATTTTTGCTGTGCATATAGAGTTGGTGTCTGAGATTATTTATAGCTGCAAGGTGTATGCAAGCTCTCCCTACTCGACTCATCAAGGGGAGGATTGTAGTCCTGAGTGGTTTTCTGTGTACCATCTATCTCATTTTCCTTCACTACTGCCTTGTGATATTAACTGATGCGGTCAGATTCATATCTGACAAACTGTGGCCCTAATTTCATTCACAGTTTCGGTAGACATATTCACAACACTTATTAACGGAGACAGTGGGGGCTCCATGTAGAAATATGTAAGTCCACTTGGGATACCATTGGAAACAACTACAGCGATACACAATCTCCAGCGGCAGATTGTGCATCATTGTTTTGGTGCAGACAGCAACACTCTCTCTGGAGGAGCAGGTAATTATCTCATTGGTCTGCGTTTTTTTTTCGTATCAACCTGTGCTTCCATTCGCTAATACCTTGGTTTTGTGATGAGCAAGGGTTGATTATGTGTTGTTTGTGGGGAGGGCACATACTCTCTGTCTTGAGGGAATTGGATCATTTATTGAGATGAAACATTATTGGGGATTATTAAGTGCCATGGCGACTCCATTAGCTACTAACATATCATTTAAAATAGAGAGCAGAGCTTAGAGCAATCTACAAATATAAGTGATTTTAAATCATTAACCAACTGCGGCACGCCCGTAGCTCTCTCTCTCTCTCTCTCATCTCTTTATATATAAAAAAATATATATATATATATATATTATATATATAATATAATATATTATATATTATAAATATATATATATATAATATATATATAAATAATATATATATATATATATATATATATATATATATAGTAATATATAATAATATTATATATGTCGTGCGCAAATATGTAAAACTGGTCTATTAGCCAAGAACTCATTCAATAGTAATATCCTTTCTGAAATTTTCCTCGTTATACGTTTAAAAACATATTTTTTAATTAATGTAAAGTAAAAAAAATTAATTTTGTCAGCCAAAAGAATCATAGAAACTTCCTAACCTTATATAACAAGAAAACCATTTATTATAGCCTAACCTAACTAATTATATTTGATTGTTTACAATAATTAATACGAAAACTAACACAGTGAAATATATTTTTTCGTTAGGTTCACAAATGATATTGGGGCGAAATTAATTGCATACGAACAAATATTCACTTGTCCT